ACTTTTTTTGTAGTACTATTAGTAGTATGTAGTAGTATGTAGTACTATTAGTAGTATGTAGTACTATTTCTGCAGTACAGAAATAGTGCTTCTGTACTGCCAGGAAAGATCTGGGGCCAGAAATGTCAATGCTGTGTGACTTCTGATTGGAAGAAGCTTTGTTTACTCTGAGTTTTCAGCAGCCACCCATGGCTTTTTAAGGCTTCCATTCTTTCTTTAGAGCTCTGGAAGATCTGAACTAATGCTACTGCTTAACTAAATTTTTCTTCATCTTAATTACTTCCCAAGTCAAAGCTCTCTGAAGTGTTATGGGCCATTTGATTAATTTCATCTAACAAAAGAGTGAGGTGCACTTGCAAAAGAAGAAATACTCAGAAACGCCTCTTTTGTTAAGCTGTGAATTGATTTAATTTTCTTTAGCTCAGCGAGTCTTCTTCATTCTCTGTACAGTGACAAAGTTTCAACAGAACGAGACTTTCTGGAGAGTTTAGTGGTTGAAAGATTCAACCACTAATAAAAAAGCATAAAGGACAGTCCATGGAACGTGGATCTCTGACATCCTGAATGAACACTCCAAATCAGAGTAATTGTTGAAAATGAGGTGGCTCCTGCCATCTTCTTTCTGGATGTTGTTTTAAAGACTTTAGGGACTGGCTCCAGGAAGAGGTTCTGACATTTCTCAAAATAGAACTGCTGAAGCCCAGAAAGGGTAGACTATACATCATCTCTTCTAGTGTTTCTTCTTTGATAGGTAAATGGCTTCCTGGTCATCCTGTCATCTGGTACTGACCTTCTTTCTGTAGGCTCTGCCTTCCCTTGAGGAGATCTGTCTAGAGCTATTCCATATCTAGAGAACTCAGATACCCAGACAAACAAAAATAAATAATATGAGGCTGTTTTGCAAAACCTCTCTCGCTCTGTGCATTGTGTTAGTCAAGATCCAGCTGATTTTGAATTGTACAGGAATCAATTATTTCCCCCCTCCCCCCCCAATTTTCTCCTGAATTGCAGGTGTTTGTGAAGGCAGGGGATAAAGTTCAGATTGGAGACCCTCTAATGGTTATGATAGCTATGAAAATGGAGGTAAGTGACATGTAAAGGTTTTAATTATTGAGAAAATAAAAATCTGCTCAAAATTTAATTATTTTTGGTTGCATTATTGAAGTTCAGTGTGGAGTGCAGCTTGCAGCTGTCAGTATCACTTCATCTGCTGTAACATCAGTGTTGTGTCTGACTAGATTTCAGAGGATTATATTTGCTGTTACTTTACTAACAAATGATGATTATATAATCCATGGTATTCTGCAGCTGTTTTAACATGCATTTGAGTGATGGTGTCAGGCCTTCTGTCCCATCCTCTCCTTTGACTTTCCTAGCACAAAACTGTCTTGCTGTGTCTGTTGCTCCCCAGTTGTGATCCAGGCACATGGATGTCTGCTGTTACTTCAAGCAGAGATTTAGCTAATGGGGACTTTGCAAATATGCACAGGATTCTTCTTGTGTATAATATTTTATTATTATTATTAATAATAATAATATTTACATAAAGTTTTATCAAAAGCACACTAAAGATTCTGTGTAGTTATCCACACAGCATTCAGAGGACTGGCATTTTGGCCATTTTACCTTGTCACAGTGCTTGACTGTGGCTCAGATTGCTTGAATTACAGTTTCTGTAGCCTGAACTGGTTTGGTTTGACTATTTGTTTAAAATCTCAGTTTGTGGCAGCAGAACTAACACTGTTGAGAAAATCTGCCTTTCTCTTATCATGTTCTTTTTTTTAATTACACTCGAATTCTATTAAATAAAACTGTGTGCACTAAAAAAAAACCTACACACAAACTTCTTTGCAGTTGGATGCTAAATGTGTTTGTGCCTCTTCAGATGATATCCAGACTGACATTATCTGAGTTTTTATAGTGCTATTGAAATATAAAATGTGAAATTTAAAAAGCAAGTTATTATTTAGAGTCCTTAGATGTAAGGATTTAATAGCTGATCTTACATATTTTAATGCTGGACTAACCCCATGTAGAAAACTACCAAGAGGCAAAGCTACAAAATCAAACTAACGTGGTACAATGACAAGCAGACCTCTTGGGGCTTGGTGTGTAAGCATGCTGTTCCTTTACTGGCATTGGTAGCTGTGTTTGTGTTTAATCTGCATTTTGCCAAATATCTGTCCACTAAAGACCCCTCCTGGCCAAAAAACAGAAATATCTTCAGTAAATCTGCAGATTTCTCTTAAGGGAACAAATCTGCTCTCTGATTAACATTTTGGATTAATGCTGTGTTATTTCTGTTTGGTATTTATTACAACAGCAGAAAGTACTAGTGAGGTAAAATAAGTCAGCTGTTCATACTGATGATCATTCACATGATGATGATAATTCATATAAATGTATTATATAGCATTTTTCTCCCCAGTATACTTGCCAAATATTTGTGAGAAAATGAAACTCAAAAATGGACTAGGAATGTTTCAAAGAAGGTTTAAAATAAAACATGTCAGAGGAAGGAATTAAGTGTTCAGGTGAAATTGGACCAAGCAGTAATGCTGGCATTTGCTGGAGAGGGAGGGAGGGGAGGGAAACCCCCGAGTTGTCTGTGTTCACTCTGGCTGTGTTTCTGTGCAGCACACCATAAGGGCTCCCAAGGCAGGAGTGATTAAAAAGGTCAATTTCCAAGAAGGTGCCCAGGCTAACAGACATGCTCCACTTGTTGAATTCGTGGATGAAGAAGCAGAGTCAAAATAAAATTCAAGGAAAGTGCATTTTATTTTTTCTACTTTGCTGATTTTCTCCCAGAAGATTTCTTCATATTTTCAGCAGACTTGAGACTGTTTTGTATGAATGGGAGATTGGTTTCCTCTGCACTTCCTGCATAGTTTGACTGTAAATTATGCTGAATTCACTGAAATTTGGGTATCACTATACTGTAATTGTATTTATAACTTGTGGATCTATGTGATTGTTGTCCAGTGGTTGTTTGCCTGATGAAAGGACTGGAAGAAGGTGTGAAACTCTGAAAGGTTCAGAGAGGTTTAGTAAGGACTATAAGGTACAAACTGGTTGGGTTCTTCTGCCTACTTATTCACAGCTGCCTTTTTTCCCTTAAATATGCGAGAATTGATTTGAAGGAAATCTGAAAGACAGTTTTTCTATTTTCTGGCAAAATTCCTGTTTGTGGCTTATGTCTTTGCCTTAATAGGGAATTTAGGATTGTTCCTTAGCCCAGAATGCCTCTCAGTCATTTCTGGTGCATCTGTTTTTCCTGTTTACCTCAATGAGTTGTGAAAATTTGCATTTCAAAAATTATTTTAATATACCTCAAAATATGTGATACAAAGCATTTTTCAAATCCATTTGCTACACTAATCAAAGTGAAAATGTAACTGCTTTCCAAAAATACCATTTGAACTTTAAACATGAAGTAGTAACAGAGAAATATAAGCTTATTTAATACTTAGTGTGCCAAAATACAATACTGACTTCAAAATCTTCATTACTGTTACCATATTGTTCATGTTCTAAAGTATTTCTTACTGGCTGAAATGAAGTACACCACAGTCTTTATAACAACATGAAATGTTACTAAGAATAATAGATTTTTTTCTGTATCTTCAGGGTTTCAGAAGGGAAAGTTGGTAGGTTTTTGGATGTGCAAAGAAAAAGAATTCTCATACTAAGCATACTGAAAATTTGCCATAAATTTAACATATTTAACCAGCAGCTTAGAGAAACAAGGGAAAGAAAAAAATGTTTTAATTGTTGCAAACTTTGAAAGTCTTTTCATCTTTCAGTTAATGTGAAGTTCTGTTATCATGTGAAGTTTTGATATGCTAATTTAATTAAATAATCTGTTCTATACTGCAGAAAGGAACAATCAGATGCTGCAGTGATCCCAAGCCTGTAGTTAAAGCTGTGCAAATGGACCCTTACCTGAAATCTCATTTCTGAATCAATATACAGTATCATGGGGAATTCTCTGATCTGCTTTTATAATTGTGCAGCCTTGTCTGCAATGCAGAAAAAAAAGTGGTGAAAAAGCAATGACTCTGGATGATCAGTGTATTAAAAGGATATTTTAATACTTTACAATTTTCCTTCCAATCCTGTGGTCATCTAGCAAATAATTAAATTCCAGTGATCATCTTGTAGAATATTGCCACTATTATTTTTATTTACTGCCAAATAAAAATTAAGCGTAACTTGGAATGTTTTGATTTTTCTCCATTTTGTTCTTTGCTTGGTTGCTTCTGTTCATGCACTGGATTAGAGGGTTTGAGCAGCTGTTTCTGTATCATCTGATGATGATGAGCACAATCTGCAGATCACATTTAGGAAGCAGTAATCCAGACACTCGTGATGGGTTTCACTGCAGGTAAGGTTAGGCACTTGTTTTATCCAGCATTGAATCCTCACACAGAAACATGAGCTCAGCCCTGAAGACACTCAGCAGCTTGGCATTTATTTTTTTCTCTCTCTGTGACACGGCTGTTTCTAGACTGCCTTTGCTGCACTGAATCTGCACCAAAACATTGAAACTCCCAGCAGGAGGTTCTCTGCCCGCTCAGGCTGCACGGCTTGGCTGCACACAGCCGGTGCAGCAAAACACATTCCCTGGGAGTGACAAAATGTCCTCCCTTCGGAGCCAGGGGAGACAAATAATCTCACCAGTCTTCATTTTCCCTCACTTCTCAAAAATTAGCAGTTAGGTTTTTATCAGTGTAGGTTTCTACTGAGATAGATTTTTCAGATAGTGATGGTTTTGTTTATTTAAGAAATCTCTTGCAGAAGCCACTGTCACAGTTTGCATATTTGAAATGCTTTACTGCAGTGTGATTTAATCGAACTTGGAGATGCTCAAAAATTATTAAAGGTAGGTTGTTCCTATACCAGTATCTTAGTTAACAAAATATTCGTGAATCTTCAGTTTATTACAAGTAAGTTTTTGTGTTACAAATGTAAATTGATGAGAGCCCTAGTAACAGCTGTCACCTGTTGTCTCTAAAACACTTAATGGCAGACTAAGAAAAAAATTTTAATTTTTAAAATGCAGTATTTTAGCATTTGGGCTAAAGGGGTAATCTCTGCTACTAATTTATTGTCAATTTACCTTTTCAGATAGTGCTGTAGTTCTGAAACAACAGTCGCAGATGTTACAGGAACAATGAATCTGAACTGATTCTAGTTGTAATGATTTTTTCTTGCTGCCAGAGGAGAGAGGGGGTTGTGTCATGAGATATTTAATTCAGCCACAGCTGAAGGTCTGCAGGAAAGAACAAGGGTGTTGGTGTTCCAGACTCAGGCTTCTCTGAGACAGGGTCAGGGAGCACTGCTCAGCTTGGACCAGGAATGGCTCATCCTGCCCAGCGGTGTGACTGCTGCCAGACCACAGTGAGAGCCCGGTGTAAACTTCAGTTTTCCCCTGTGGGGATCTCCATCTCTCCTGCACTCTCCAGCGGCTGCCAGTTCCTGTGGCTGATACCCAGGGAAGCTCTGTAGTGTGGAGCCTCAATCCATGCTGGACTGGGAACCAGGAGAGCAGGACTGTGTTCTTATTTCAGCCACTGACTCACTGTGACTTCAGACAAGTCACTTGGTAGATATTTGCCCGTTTCCTCCTATTTAAAGAGGTTGACAGCAGTCAAAACACTGCAAAATTTGTGGACACACTGATTTATAAATAATTTTCTCTGCTTGTTGGGAAAGTTGTCATTTCAGATGTAGACTAATTCTAGTTTTTTTAAGGTTTTTTTTTAACCTTTTATAAATCAAATATCAATACCTCAGAGTTACAAGGTTTCCAGCGTGTATTGTATCCTTTGTTGCAATGATTGTACCAGCTAGTTACCAGGAAATCTTAGCTTCAAGCTTAGTCAAGTCTTCATGCTGACTAAAAAATGAATACTCAAGTGGTTTTTGGCAGGACCTTTAAAATTTACCTACGATAGGGGGGAAAAAAGTTTATCTGGGCACAGAACTCTTTTATTGAAGTGACTTGTTGATATGTCCCTTGAAATAGGTACCATTGCACTCTCACAAGGTATATTCATTGCTGATAATCCTTTTCAAGCAGATCAGGAATTGTGTGTCCTGTTTGTAAAAAGTTCAGCTGTGCTCATTAGAATGCTGAACTACCAGCTTTTGCACAAAGTATATTCTCGACATCCTCAAGATACTTCAGCTTCTTGTACAGTCACGTTCCAGGTAGAGACTTTTACACACAAATGCCTTGCAGGTGAGTATCACTTAGTACCTCTATAATACTGGGGCATATCCTTCTGCCTAAGAATTCCATTTGGAAAATAATATGCACTACTGAATGCTGTGTTTAAAAAACCAACATTTTAGAAATTGGTAATTGAAACCTTGGTATTTATTTTTATGTGATCCAACTGAATTTCTTGGAAGAGAGCCTGGATTCTAAAAGCAATTTTGAGACATTTGATGTTAGCTTAAAGACCTGTTGATTATACAATGAATTAATATTAAAACAAACATGGATGTTATGGTTACACCAGAATACACCATGTATTTTATTATAGCAGTAATTAATAAAATACATCTGGAGTCCTGCTGGGTTTTAAAATCCTAATGGTTGCTGCATTTAACTTTAATCTGTGTCCTGGTTTCAGCTGGGAGTTAACTTTCCTCCTAGTAGCTGGTCCAGGGCTGTGTTTGGGAGTCAATGAGAGAATAATGTTGGTAACAAGCTGATGCTTTAGTTGTTGCTGAGTGCTGCTTGCTCTAAGTTAAAGGTTTTCCAGTTTCCCATACTCTGCTGGCAGACAGGTGTACAAGGAGCTGGGAGAGAGCAGAGCTGGGCCAGCAGACCCCAGCTGGCCTAAGGGACAAACCACACTACAGAACACTGTGGCAAGCACAGACATGGGGGAGGCTGGCCAGGAGCCACTGATCGCTGCTTGGGGACATTCTGGGCATCAGTCAGAGTGTGCTGAGCAACTGTAGTGTGCATCACCTGTCTCCACTGGGTTTCATTTCTCACAGTTGTATTATTATTTATTATATTTGATTTCAATTATTAAATTGTTCTTACTTCAACCCATGGGTTTTGCTCTTTTTTTCCTATCCTCCTCCCCATCCCAGCAGGAAGTGAGGGTGGTGGATGAGCAGTTTCATGGTATCTAATTGCTGGATGGAGTTAAACTGTGACGTTTTTGGTGCCCGATGTGAGGCACAAAGGGTGGAGATAACAGCAGATCTGACCAGACTGTGTAAAACAGATTTGTTACAAGCATTCATTATATTAATTTAATACTCAGTGGCCACAGTGTTGTTTGTTCTCAGAGCTGTTGTGCTTGTTCCCAGGTTTGTGTCATGTGATGATGCCCTTGGTGTCCAAGTTGCCTTTGTGCTGGTTATCACCTCTGAGGGCTGGGCTAAGGTCGATTCTGTTGTACTTTATTACACTGGCCTATGATATGATAGAACTGCTGGTTCTGAAACACAGAAAAAAACAATCACAAATGGGGGTTCTTCTGGGAAAACTGGTGTTCCAGTCTCCAGGGGGAAGTTCCCCACACAGAGGAAGAGCTGATCTTACTCCTGATCCTATGGAAAAAAATTCAAATAAATTTTTACAAGAAGCAGGGAATCCTAAGACCAGTACTAGAGGGGCCCTGCCTCCAGCCAGGTGGAGGAGAGGGACAGCCAGGTTTGTAGGACTGTGTGGATCAGATGGCCTGGCACAACAGACCCACAGGAGTGTAAGGCTCTAGCAGATACCTGTGCACAGTGCATCCTAATGCCATCAAGCTGTAAAGGAGCAGATCCCATTTTCCTTCACTCCCCATCCTACTGGATGTGAGCAGCTGTGTGATACTCAGCTGCCAGCTGGGGTTAAACCATGACAGCCTCTTTTCCTTTAAACAGTTCTGGTGCCACAGCAAAGCTCCAAAGAGTGGTGAAAAAGGCCAAAGAGGGATGCAGCTGTCAGCCTTTCTGAAAAGGAAGGTGACATCTTCTCCTGGACTGTCCCCTTCTGCTCACTCACACACAGGAACACTCAGCGACCAATACTGGGTGGGATCTGCCACCAAACACCCCAAGCCTGTTCAGTGTCCTGGGCTAAGCATCCCAGAAACATCAGACACAGCTGCTGCTCTACAGAGTTGTAAAATGAGGTAAAATACAAGAATAAACCCATTTAAACCCAGCGCTGTTACATACAAATGTGGTTAATACACATTTTCCTTGAGACCTGTCCCACTATTGTTGCAGGCAGCCAGTCACATGCACAGAGGTTACAATTAGGACAATATTTTTGGCCAGGTGGTGTAGACATGAGCCAAAGAATCAGTTTGCTGTTACAAGGAGGAGTGGAAAAGGCTGAATGTGTGTAACATGACAGGAGCCAAGAGCCATCTTACTACTCTTGCCTTGTACATCTGCAGTGTGCCTACCTTCAAGGCAAAAGACTCTACCTCCAATATAAGTTAACTTAAATTATTGTTTTGTATACCAATACCAAAGTATGTGCTTTGCATTGGGATGGCTGATTTTTATTACACTGAACAATTACAGATGGCATAATTTAATCATTTAATCATGAAGCTGTGATGGTGCTGTGTGGATCACAGCTTGGGAAAGTTTCAAAGAATTCTGGTTACAAGCATTGTACCTTGTATTACAGAAGTTCTGAACTAAAAAATGTCCATATAAAAATCAACTAGCTATGTCAATTCTTATTGCCCTCCCATCTGCTAACTCATATTACTTAAAATACCTTGCTTTTAGTACACATATCTCAGTACTTACTAGTTTAAAAAAAAACCAGAAGCCTAGCAGTCTGTTGCCTTTCAGGTGTCCTGGGAAGTCTCAGTTTATTCAGGCTAGTTTAAAAAAAAAAAAAAAACAGAAGCCTAGCAGTCTGTTCCTTTTAGGTGTCCTGGGAACTCTCAGTTTATTCAGGCCTGCCAGAGTATGGGGGAACACATGCAAAATTTCCAGATTTTCTTAGCCTCTCTGACCTGATTTTGCTTTGTCACATACAGTTGTCCTGCTCCCTCCCAGAGATGCTGTCACATGGAAAACTGCTCCTAACAGTGCCTCCTTGGACTGGGTGTAGTAACTTGTTAACCTCTTGTGTAATGCAGGAAGGATGAAAAACTTAATAGAAGGTGAACACCCTTCCCTGCAACCTATCAACAACAATCTTCTGATATTGGTGCTGTGTCACTGCAGGTTAAATTGCTCAGACACCTACAGGAAGACTCACTGTTTACTTCCTCTGTGCTTCCTTCAATGCAGAAAAAACCCCACACTGGGCTGATAGAGACATTCCAACTGTATCAGCTGAACAGCACAACAGGAGACCATTGGGTCTGCACCTCTGGATGCCTACAGAGTGGCATTAACTACCCTTGTGCAGGATAGCTCATGGGACTTTGTTCTCTCTTAACCATGGGGTCAGTTTGCAGGCAAAGGGTCATAGCTGTAATCACCCTATGGCTGTTTACATCAGTACATGATGATTTGGTGGTTTCATTTGCTAGAGCACAAAGTAAAAAGATCTGGTTAGAAAGACATGTCCAGCCCAAGCTGCCCCAGGTTATTGTTATCCTTCATAAAGCTTTGGGCCTCTTCCTCAGAAAGTGCTCTAAGTTCTCAGCCAGGGGATTACACTAAATGGATTCTGCTTTGACCGAACATGAGACTTATTTGTCTGCTCAAGAAGAGAGCTCAGGTCAGTGTAAACCAGCTCAGTGTTATATTCAGTTATGCACTTGACACAGTTGGTTTTAAAAAAATAAAATCACTGCCTCATTTTCCTGGGGTTCACATGAGAAGATAAAACATCATTGGTTCACACAACAAAACAAGGCAAGTGTGTCAGCCTTAAAATAAACTGAACAAGTCATCGTGTTACCCTGGTCACGGTGATTATGCTGCGTGCACGTTGCACAATGAAATTTCCTTCTCGTCTGTGTCACTGAGGGCACGTGTCACATTCACAAGCAGCAGAGCTGGGTCTCCCTGCTCTGACCTGGGCTCCATCCTGCAGGGAGCTGCACAAAAGGCAACGTGTAACAGGCCCAGTTCAGGTAACTTACGCTTTTTGGTGGCCTCATGCTGCCTCCTGGCTTATAAAGCATCTGGTTTTGCTAAGAAATGGTGAGAGTGAGATTCAGACAGCACACACAGCATGCAAGTACCCATCTCCATCTGTAGGCAGGACCAACCAGGATATGGGTGGAATTGGGGCAATCTGGCTGTGTCCTGAAGTGTGTGCCTGCCCACTGCAGTGAGCTGTGTTTGGAGAATAACTCAGTCTAGTCAGACCATGGTGGCCAAGAGCTCTGGGTAAGGTAACCTCAGATTCAGAAATTCAGCCATATCCCCATGGAAGCACTCTGGAAACCAATACAGAACACTGCAGCTCCCACTAAAATCAGTAATGCTAGACTTATGACCTAAATGGCAGCAGGAAGTCACTCCTTTTCTCAGGTACAGTATCACCTGAGGAGTGATCTTGAATTGGAAAAAAACCCACAAGAAATAGTATGCATGCTGTGAATAGCAGCAATATGTATTTCACATTTTTAACTGTAATTCATTTTTATAACTTATATCACAGGATTATCTCGTTATCTGCCCTGCTCAGAAGTGGTTAAGTATGATTTTCCATACCTTCTACAACTGGAATTCATAATACAGAGCAATCTAGTAAGTTAGGGAGATCAAACCAAAAGCCAGTCAAAAAACCAAACACAAATACAGTGTGTCCCCATACACTCAAAAAAACCACTAAGAGTCCCTGCATTACAAGAAACCTGCAAGACCTGCAGGTATTAGAAAAAAACAAGTCACTTTAAAAATCCTCTTTCTCTCCTGAGGAGTCTCCTGCATGCACAGCTCATCCCTTATTATTGTTACATGTCACAATAATTCTCCAGGTCTAAACTGTGTCTTCAGCTGGCAGGAGGGCTGTCACAGCATGTTACAGTGATGGCAATTAGTTACCTCAATCAAAGAGATTTCCAGGTTTGGCTTTGCCTCCCCTGCCGTGGTTACAAGGGCAGGGCTGGTGTGCAGTGTTCATGGCTGTTCACTGGCCAATTTGCATCCACCCCCAATTTCAAAATTATGCTCTTTGGTACGATTCAAGGTATCCAGGCAACTGCTGTCTCCAAGAATAGCTGAATTTAGCTATATTCCCATATACTTGATATCAAGCTCTTAATTTTACTGTTTCATACACCAGCAAAATTGGACACTTCACAGGACAGGCCTGATTTTCCTCACCAAATACAACTGAACTCCTTACACTCCCATCTCAGCTTTGCTCTGATTTTCAGGAAAGTAAGCAAGAAACAATTCAGACCCTTTTCTATAAAAACACATACATAAACTGTGGACATCCATGATGAGGAATGGCTTTTTGAAGTCTTAATTTCTCTGCCGTGTGTGCAATCATACCAGTCATAATAAATACAGAAGCTTACTTTAATAGCTCCAATCTCAGCAGGAGATGAGAGAACAAGATCAGATCTCAAACCTTTGTCCTTCACAACAGCAGTTTGCCACCACTGTGAGTTTTATCAGCAAGTATTTTGCTTCCCCAAACTCCCTCGGCTGCCAAAAGCCTGCAGTAGGTAGAGTAAGCTTTCCTGGGAAAAAACAACTGTCTGGGATAGTGGTACAAACCGTGATTTAACCATTGCAGCCCCTTCTGCTAGCACAGCTGTGCTACTGCAGGAAGAGCTACATCTGCCCACAGCTGCCCAGAGCAGATCACAGCCTGGAGCAGGGAAATCAGGGAAATCTTACAGGTGTGGAGGCGCTCCTCTGTAAAGCTGCTGCCCCGAGCCTTCACCTTCCCCAGGTCTCCGTGGCTGCTCAGCAAGCGATTTTGCCTCTTCTGCGAATCCATCCTGGAAAGCCCGGGGGATTTTCCCACCTCACCCTTTCCGGGTTCAGGCCCCTAAGAACGGCGGCCACACGACCCTGGCGCTCACACTGGCGGCTCGAAAAGCGTTTGACCTTTTGATACTGACGAAATAGGAACACATAGGGAGTCTTCCCGACAGAACAGCGGGTCCCGGGGTGAGGAGCCGCTGGGACCCCGCACCCCCGCCTGCCCCCGCCGCATCCCCTCGTAGCCCCAAGCCCACCCCGTAACAGCCTCCAGGAGGCCGGGAGTGACTTTTCCCTTCCCTTCCCTGCTCGGGCTGAGGCCGCCCCGGTGCTCGCCGCGACCTCAGCGCCGAGCGAGGGCCGCCCGCCGCTCGCTGCCGCCGCTCCCGGGGAACGCGGCCGGGGCCGCCCCCCGTGAGGGCTCCCGGCTCCCCACACTGCGCATGAGCGGGGGAAGGCGGCGGAAGGGCCCGTGAGGAGCCGGGAGCCGCCGCCGCCGGAGGAAGCGCCGCCGCCGCCGCCCTCAGTGTCCGCCCGAACCGGGAGGGGAGAGGCCCGCACAGCCCCCACCATGGTGAGCGGCCGCCCGGGGCCCCTCTGGGCCCAGCGTGGCGCCTCGGGGCCGGGCAGGGGCAGCGCGGCCTGGTCGTGGCGCGCTGGGTGTCCGGGAGCGGCCGAATGGCCGGTGTCGGGGGCTCCGCAACCGGGCACGATGTGCTGGCCCGGGGGCTGCTCGTTCTCCTGCCGGGCACGGCAGGGCCGGCGTGCGGGGCCCGGGCCGGGGCCGCGGGGCGGGCGGCAGGGGCTGCTTCGGGCAGGGGCCTAAGCGGGGGGCGCCGGGATCCCGCCCAGGCTCCGACCCGCGGGGCCCCGGCAGGCCCCGCACGGCGGGGAGGGGCTGCTGGCACCTGGTGTGAGGGTTCAGCCACCTCTGCGGGACAGCGGCGGTGCTGTGGGCAGCTCTGTCCGGGCTGTGCCCTGTGCCTGCAGCCCCACTGAGCGAGTGCAAGGGGCTGCCAGGAATCAGGGGCTGCTCGGAGTTTTTCCGCAGGATTTCAGGCGTCCAGGACCCATTAAGTGCTGTCAGTTCGCAGGGAGACTTGGGGGTGTTGATGCTTCTTGAGCTGGGATTATGTTGGAGAATTTCTGGATAATTGTTCTAGGGTCTTGGTTGGTTCTTTTCATAGAAGTGTTGTAAGGGAGGGCCTTGCAGAGGTCATCCTAGTAAAGGTCTTGTAAAGGTCTATCTTGCTTTTTCTCTGTAATACAGTTCTTGTAGCTGAGGATTTGCTGTGGACTCCCAGATCGACTGACTTTCTCCCTTGCTTCTTGTAGAGGGAAACTGCAGTGTTTAGAACAACATTTGCTGGTTTTGTTTGCCTAAACAAAAGAAAAATATATTCCATCAATTTAATTAAGGGGGCCCTCATTGGTTTCTTGGACAGTGTCTTATGCACCAGAGGGAACAGTTTATAATAGTACTTCCAGGCTTTCTCGGTATTCAAGTGTTGTAACAGCTTTAGTTACTACACCTGTACAATTTAAAGCAGTACTTTTCTGTAGCAGTGATACAGTCCTAGGAAGGGTGTAGGAGGGAGTCTTAAAATCTACTGGTGTATGCTTATTGTTATAAAGATATTTTATGCTTGCTGTTAATGCTATTCTGACAAGCAGAGTTAAAAACATATTAAAAAAATTACAATGTCACCTTTAATTGATGGAGTTACGTTGGCATAAAAATTTGGTTAGCCAGCATTTAAATTAGTGGTGTGCAGACCTCTAATAAACTTGCCACTATGTAGCTAGTATAATTTTTAATTGAATAGTTTGATGTAGATCTTCATTTGTGTTTTTTTAGGAGTGCTTAAGACTGAAGTCTGAATAAAGTTCAGACTGTAAAGGTGTCTTACTGTAATTGTGCAGGTCTGGGACTGTCTGAAGTTGTGCATACACAGTAATGTTACACAACTTTTTATGAAGGCTTTTTTCCATAAAAATCACCTAGTTGTCTCACAGTATATCCAGTGTAGGTAGGCAAAATAGATACACGGTTGATGAAATAGACAGTTAATGTCTTGAATGTACATATATTATTGGCTGGCTGTGAGATTAGAAATTTAAATTGAACCATACTGTAGAAAGTGGCATAATAACAGAAATAGCGAGGCCCATTATTCAGAGAATATATTTTTGTGAGAAACAGCAGAGTTCTGTCTGCTTGGTCTTCTTGGAAACACTTAACTGAAGAACCAGCAGACATATTCTGTGTAGCAGTTCTGTACTGGTAGATTGGTATTTATCAGATGGGAGGGAGTATGTGAACACTCCAGTCATGGCCCCGAGCAGAACTGTTAGGCCCTGTGCAAACTGCTGTGTTCCAGGTTGTGCTGTTGACTCCAGCACCCAGGTGAAAGGATGACACTGAAGTGGGACTAAATGACAGGCTGCAGCTTTTAGAAGTAGTAAATACAGGTATGGATGGTTTCCAGTGCCTGGGTGTAGGATTCTGTACCTGTACTTGTGGTATGTCAAAATCCTCTTTGGTTAGGGGAAAGGTAGGGAGGCTTCACAGAGATCTGAGGATGCCCATCCAGAAACATGAGATTTGATGTCCCATTTTTCATGCCATGTACACAACTGCTCTGGCTCATCCTCCCAGAGGCTGTGGCCAGGTAGCTTGCCCAGCACAGCAAATGCTATGGCACAGCTCCTGCAGCTGGGGCCTGGCTGCTACCTGTCCATGCAGCCCTGCCAGATTGAGCGCTGCTGGCTCTGCCTTAGTCTCACCAGTGTCCATATGGCCAGAGCTTTGTGCCTTCAGGACAGAGGTTTCCTGCCCTTGAACCATCTTTGTCCTAGATCTGGAAGGGACACCACCCTGCCAGTATTCCTTGGACTGCTGAGAGCAATCAGCCTTTCTTACCCACTCTTCATTTGAGCTGGCTGAGCAGCACCTGTGGAAGTGCTGTCCTTCACCTTCTCTGTGAGAGTGTTACTGCTTCATCTCATCCTGAGGACAGTGGTGTGCCCATGATTCAAGGCAGAGCAGTAAGCTGGTCCACTGTACTCTGAGCCATCTTCACTGCCTGTACAATTCTGAATGATTTAATGAATTTAGAACTGTGTGTGATTATCTACATCTTTATCCAGAGCCAAGTGCTAGCCTTGTCTATTTATATTATCTATTATATTGTCCAGTTTGTGTTCTCTGAAAAATATTTCTGTGCTGATAAATACAAAATTTCTTACTGCAAGCCTCAGCTGACAGGAAGTTGTAAAATTTAATATTACAAGAATTCCATGTCTGACGCTGTCTCCTGTAATGTTAGTGTACTTCATGACATTGTTATGTGGTGTTTAACTCAACGAGCTATTCTGCAAGGCCAGCTGTTTATATGTGTAATCGGTGGTGCATATGCATGTTTGAAGCAGTTTGTTGATATTAAATATTTGAGGTTTGGTTGTCCCATGGTAAAACTTTAGATTCTTGGCATTATGCTTTGGACGAAGTAGTCAGAGTGCTAGACAAGATGGTGCATGATTTTGTTTCCTCTCCTAGCTTCCCAGAGATCCCTTTGAACTAATACTTTAAATCACTTTTAACTAGAGCCATGAAGAAAATATTCAAGAATATGAACTACTCTGAGAAGGTGTGAAATTTATTATGTAGCTCTTGATATTTTATGGTGCCAATGCAAATATACAGTATGACTAGAGCTTGTGCCCCAGACCAGAGTTAAGAATGCTAAACAACTGGCTGCTTTATGTTGTCCTTTTTTATTTGGAAAAGCCCTGATTTTTGTGTTTCCTTCACCTCTCAGGTTAGCATGAATTACCATTATATCTACAGCAATATTCTGGGTAGCTGTATATTGACCTTCTGCCTGCATACAAATACTGAAATTATTTTATCCACTAAAAGAACATTATAGAGGGTGGAAAGCAACTTTAATTTTATGTTGTTATTTTTCCCTTGGATTTTATATCTCAACAGACTTTTTAAATGTTTTTGTTCTGTTCCACTGCAGCCAAGTGGATTTCACATCAGTTTGTGACAGAAGCTTAAAAAAGTCCTGACTGTCTTACTTTGTGTGCCCTCTCTTAGAGAAACTGTGGAAAATAAAATGTAGTTGAGGGACATGTTTGTTTACATTATGCAGAAACTGTGGCTATTTACTTTCATTGTTTTTGTCTTTACCTTAGATTTTTTGGTAGTGTACCTGTGTGCTATCACTGTTGGTGGGTTTAGATGCAGTTCTGTGTATTTATAGATTTTTGTTGTAATTAACATTTTTCTTACAAAACAAAGAAAAATACTCATGATTCTGCCTTTTAAGCTTTATCCATGTGTTTGTTGAAATCAAGCAGTAGAGCAGATATTTTTAGGTGCCTTTGGTTCCTTTCATGGATACGGTCCAAGGTGGGATGATTCAGGAGCAGAACTCTCCTGCCATTCGTGTCGCATCAAGGGACAGAAGGGGCAGTCGGGTGAGGGGCTGCCTGCCCGAGCCTCTGGGATTGAGCTGGGTCCTTGGGAGGAGCAGGGATGCTTCCCGCAGCCACAGCTCTTGCTGGAGTCTGAGTGCAGTGAGTGTAAAGGCCGAGACTTCGTGGTGGTTGGGACTATTTTAGAAAAGGCTTTTACCTGTCACGTGCATGAGAACTTAACAGGCTTTTCTTCGAGTCCTGCCTGAAACAAAAGCGCAGATGTCACATCGTTGGAATTCCTTCGCTTAGCAGTGAAACTGGCAGGAATGGAATCATCTGTATCTGTGGCTGGGAAGGGAAAGGTGCAAAGCAGTTGCTCTCTGAGGAGTTGTGTGAATGCCTTCCTTGGGGGCCACAAGGAACTTTGGGCAGCAGAACTCATCGTGCCCTGCTTGTCTCACTGGGGCCACATGGGACCTTTGAGCCAAGTTCAAGAACAGGCTCCAGTGGGGATCCTCAGCTCTCCAGCCCAGGCAGTGTGGGACAAAGGTTGGTGCTGCTTCCCGTGAACATTATCCAAGAGAGTGGAGCCCTCATTTGGCTGTTAGCTGTCTGCAGAATGTTGATGACCAGTGTGCGGAATTTATCTTTGAATCTGGGGTGACTAAAAACAGTGCAGAAGATAAGGAAAAACAGTCAGAGTTGGTAGAGAAGTTCTAGCATTTTTAGTGCCTGAAACTAGGAGAAAAAATACTTGAAGAAATAAAAGTCCAAGTATTTTATTTTTTATTTGTAATTTTTCACTGAAGTACCTGATCAAGGAAAGGATATTGAATTAGAATATTCAGCTTTGGTACTTCATGGTAAGAGGCAAATCTTCGTTTTAAAATTAAAATTATACAACCAGATGTTAATTAGAATGAGTGTAGTTTTATGAATCTACACAATGTAGCTTTTCATTTAGAGACGTTATTCTGTGTTTTAAAAGG